CCTACTGGAGAACGGACTTGAGGATATGGGGAGGGGGAAGGGTGAGCTTTGACAGGGCGAGAGAGAGTCATGGACATACACACACTAACAAACGTAGTAAGGTAGATAGCTAGTGGGAAGCAGCCGCATGGCACAGGCATATTAGCTCGGAGCTTTGTGACAGCCTGGAGGGGTGGGATAGGGAGAGTGGGAGGGAGGGAGACACAAGAGGGAGGACATATGGGAACATATGTATATATATAACTGATTCACTTTGTTATAGAGCAGAAACTAACACACCATTGTAAAGCAATTGTACCCCAATAAAGATGTTAAAAAAAATAAATTTAAAAAAATTATAAAAAATAAAAAGAAGCAAACTCACAGATATAGAGAACCAACTAGTGGTTACTAGAGGGGAGAGGGAAAGGGTATGAGGCAATATAGTGGTAGAGGGTTAAAGAAAGTTTATTATGGGATTATATGAAATCATGTACGTGACACTTTTGAAAATTGTAACGCACCACAGAATTTAAAGAATCTTTCATTCAAAAAAAAAAAGTGAAGGAGAAATACTTTCTTAAACAAAGATTGAAGGAATTTGTCTCCAATAGACCTGTCTTATAAGAAATGTTAAATGAAATTTTGTGGTAGCCATCCTTTAAGACTGGCCTCCAGTGATTCTTGCCTCCTGATATACATGGCATTGTTTGGTTCCCTCTCTTAAGTCCACAAGTTTTCAGATCAAAAGAAACTGTACTCAAAGAACTGTACTTAAGGAACTATACCCAAGAAGCCTCATCACCTCTGGACCTTATTTAGATGAGATTCTGGACTTCAAGCTGATTCTGTAGTGGGGTGAGATTTAGGGGAGTCTTGTGAGAAGGATGAGTCTATTTTGCATGTGAGAGCGACATTGATTATTGGCAGCCAGAGGGTGAACTGAGGTACTCAGCCTCCAAGATGGCCCCCAGTGATTCTTGCTTCCTGGTGTAGTCACCTCTCATACTGAGGAGAGCTGTCTTGTGCAATCAATAGGATATTGCAGGAATGTTGGAGTGTGACTTTTGAGAGTAGGTCATAAATAACGTTGCAGCTTCTACCTTGCTATCTCCTGGATCACTTGCTCTAGCATACATCGGCCTCCATGTTGTAAGGATATTCAAGAAGCTCTGTCACAAGATTCATGTGACATGGAACTGATCTGCCAACTGTCAACATCAACTTGTCAGCCATGTGAGTGAACCTACCTGGAGAGGAATCCCCCAGACCAAGTCAAGCCTTTAGATGACTGTGGCCCCAGTTGACATCTTGGTTACAATCTCATGAGAGACCTCAAGACAGAAACCATTCAATTAAGATATTTTTGAATTCCTGATCCACAGAGCTGAGCGATAATATTTATTGTTGTTTTAGCCACTAAGTTATGGAGTAATTAGTTATACAGCAATAGATAACTAATTCAGATTTCAATAAAAATTCTAGAAGATTTAACAATCTCATCATTGAAATTACATGAAATAAAGGTTCATGAAAAACTAATCTAATTTTGAAAAAGATAAGTAAAATGGAAGAACTTCTTTCCCAGATATTAATACAATCTACAAAGCTACAGTAATAAATGTACTATGCAATTACACAGAAACAAATACACAATGTAACAGAATAGAAAGTTCAGAAACAGAAATTGATGTCTGATAAAGGCAGCACCATAAATCAATAGAAAAAAATAGATTACTTTCCAGATAGTGTTAGGAAAACTAGCTCAATATATCCAGAAGAATAAAGTGGTATTCCCTGATTTATGCCATACACACAGGGGAATGCCATCTGGAATAAAGTCTCAAGTGTAAAAGGCAAATTTTAAAAGCTAACAGAAGAAAATAAAAGGAAATATCTGAGTGATTTTAGGGTTGAAAGGACTTCTCAAGCAAGACCTAAAAACACAAAACATTTTTAAAAAATGGATTTATATACATCGAAATTGAGAACTTCTGCTCACAAGGACGTCATAGGCAAAACTGACAGTTGACAGACCAAAGAAAATACTTTTAGTGTTTAAAACCTGCTAAGGAATTAATATACGGCATGTATAAGAAACAGTTGCAAATGAATAAGAAAAAGACAGGAAACCTCAATAGAAAAACAGGCAAAGGACGTAAGTAGGTGAATCATTTAAAAGGAAGCCCAGGGAATTCCATGGCAATCCAGTGGTTAAGACTTCGCTTTCCAATGCAGGGAGTGCAGGTTCAACCTCTGGTTGGGGAGCTAAGATCCCACATGCCTCATGGCCAAAAAACCAAAACATAAAATAGAAGCAATATAGTAACAAATTCAATAAAGACTTTAAAAAATGGTCCACATCAAAAATAGATAAATAAAACTTTAAAAAAATAAAAATAAAAGGAAGCTCAGTGGCAAGTAAGTATAGAAATCAGAGAAACACACTAGAATCAGAGAAATGCCAATTTCAACATTGATATATACTTTAACATTAATCAAATTAATAAAAATTAAAAATCAGGGACTTCCTGATGGTGCAGTGGTTAAGAACCCGCCTGCCAATGCAGGGGACATGCGTTTGATCCCTGGTCCGGGAAGATACCACATGCCGCGGAGCAACTAAGCCCGTGCGCCACAACTACTGAGCCTACGCTCTAGAGCCTGCAAGCCACAACTACTGAGCCCATGTGCCACAACTACTGAAGCCCGTGCGCCTAGAACCTGTGCTCTGCAACAAGAGAAGCCACCACAATGAGAAGCACGCACACCACAACGAAGAGCAGACCCCACTCACTGCAACTAGAGAAAGCCTGAGCACAGCAACGAAGACCCAACGCAGACAAAAAAAAAAAAAAAAAAAAATCAGATAACAGCAATTGTAGGTAAGAAAGTAGAGAAATAAGATTTCTCCTACTCTACTGGCAGGAGTGTAACTGAGGCAGTATTATGGAAAATAATCTGGTGGAATTTAATAAAATCAATGTACAAATTATCTCATGTTCCAACAATCACATACCTGGGTATAAGCATCAAAGAAACCGGGGCACAAATCAAAAAGCAACTTACATGAAGGTATTTACCACAGTGTTATTTTATAGTTGCAGAAAGTTGAAAGTTACTTTAGGTGCCCATCTCTGGGGGAATAGATAAGTAAATGCAAAGCGTACATAATCTGAAATATTATACTATATATTACTAATATACTATACTATACTTAAAAACAATACAGCAGATGCATAGATAGCAACAAAATAGAGTTAAACATACAGTGTTGAGTGAAAAAAAGTTGAAACAAAGCAATAGCTATAAACCAATAACATTTGTATAAATTAATGCATAGACACACACACAAAAAAACACTTTATTGTATCAGGATATATAACAAACACATTAAAGTAAAAGTGTGGGTAGAAGAAATGGAACAGAGTTGTGGATAATGAAAATAGAAATAAGTAAAATGATACAGCAGAGGAGATATGGTCAAATGATGACAGAGTATCATCAACTGAGGAAAATTATTAATTAAATTATATATCTGAGTTCCAAATGAAATGAACTAATAATAATAAAAAACTGGAATAATAAAAAAGCAAAACTGATAATAATGACAAAAAATAAAAACAGTGCAATTTACCATATTAACAGATTAAAGGAGAAAAACAAGTATCTCAATAAATGCAGAAAAGGCATTTGATACGTTCAACTACTTATTCATGATTTTTAAGAAACAAAAATCTGGAAAACTGGGATTTAAAAGAAACTTTAGCAAGTATCTAGACAATTCTATATCAAGCATCATAATTTATAGGAAACATTAGAAGCATGCAGATTAAAGTCAGGAATGCACCAAGATACCTGCTAGCATTGCTCCTAGTCAGTATTATACTGGAGGCCCTAACCAACGCAAAAAGGCACGATAATGAATAAGTATGAGTATTTTAAAGTGACAAAATTGTCACTATTTGAAAATCATAATCATTTTCATAGAAAATCCTGAGAGATGCAACCAAAACTCTAGGAATATAAGAATTCAATGTATGGAATTTAATTATATTACTATTTATAAGCAAATAAATTCATAATAGTAATTAAAGAGCTGAAAAAAATGAATACATCATATTCATGTACTAAAATACTCAATTCTTTGAATTTTAATTACATATAAATTTAAGATAGTAAAAAAAAAATTTAAAGACACTAAAGGTTTATGACAAATGAGAAGCAGATATTTTTAGATTCAGTAAAAAAAAAGAGGGGGGAAAAAAGAAAAAAATGTCAACAATTCAACAACAACAACAAAATGGGCAAAGGACACGAATTGTCAATGCACAGGGAAGGAAAATTAAAAGGCCAATCACTTTAGGAAAAGAGTCTCAATCTTGAAGTCAGCCAAAGAAAATGCACATTTGAAAAAAAAAAAAAGCCCAGAAGATACTATTTCCACCCAATAATATTTATCAAGCTTTCGTTAAAATGGGAGGAAACAGGAACTTTCTGCTGAAGGCAACTGGTGGTAGTTAGTAAAATAAAAAATATGCAGACACTTATATGTAGACCTCTTAAAGAAACTCTTAATATTTGTGTTCTAGGATACATGAAGATGTTCACTACAGCATGATTTTTAACAGTGAAAACTGGAAACACTCTAACTATCCCCCTGTAGCGGACTGGACAAACAAAATGTGGTGTATTCGTAAGATGGGTCTATACAACAGCCAAAAGAAATAGATCATGTCTACCTACCTCTAATCAATATTAAACAGATTTCATATATATAATATTGAGTAAGGAAAACTACAGAATTATAGGCACGGTATGATACCATGTACATAAATTAAAACCACACAAAACATACTATATTTGTTTATAAACATAGATAAGTAAAGTACTTTTATAATTGTTAGTTTTTGTGCTCACATATCCTGATCTGGCTCTGGATGTACACAGGGGCATATCGTAAAGTAAAAATGGGGAAACAGTCTACAATATGACTCCAACCAAGATTAGTGTATACTTACATTGGTAGGCAATGGAGACTGAAGATGCTTGAGCAAGCTGTCACATGGTTTGAGCTGTAATTTGGGGAGTATCCATCTTTCCAACTTGTGTAAAGGAAACTGAAATGGAGAGATGATTTGGGAGGCTATTAAAGGAATCTAAGCAAGAAGTAATGTACTATATTAGTAAATGGTAAGTAGTGATAAACATGGAAAGAAGATAGTGAATCTCATTTCTACCCCCTTCATCATCATACCCAAACACCAAAGGTACTTGAAAAATGTCAACTGAGTACAAAATATATGATCTTAATCCTTAGCTCCTCAATAAAAATATTATCAATAATTTTGCAAGTTAAATAATTTTTGTAGGTAACTGTGCATAGATGAATTTTAAGTCATTTGGGTATGAACTTGGCATTGGTATTTTGCATATTCATCTACCATCACAAAAATATGAGGGTTTGTTTACCCATAGTATCCACAAAATTAATATCTATTTTTCTCAGGTTGAGACATTTATTAAAAAAATAATAAAAACTATGACTTATTACATGCCAGTCACTGTGGTAGTCACTTTCCATATACTTTCCTATCTAACCTTTACTTCAGCACTGTAAAGCAGGCATTACATTATAACCCCTCTTAACTGACAAGGCAACTGAGGCTCAAAGATAGGAAATAACCTGCCCAACATCAGAGTAAAGCTAGTAAATGGTGATACTGAGATGCAAACCAAAGTCTGTGTAATTCCAAATCTGTGCTCTTTCCACTACCATCCTAATCTCTTCCACTAAACAGCATCATTTATTTAGCTGTAATATAAACAAAATCCTCAGTTCCAAGTGGCAATGAATGTTGACAAGTCACCCATTATTAAAACATATTTGGGACTTCCCTGGTGGTCCAGTGGGTAAGACTCCAGGGGGCCCCAATGCAGGGGGCCCAGGTTCGATCCCTGGTCGGGGAACTAGAGCCCACATGCATGTCACAACTAAGAAGTCCACATGCTGCAACTAAAAGATCCCACGTGCCGCAACTAAGACCCAGTGCAGCCAAAATAAATAATAAAATAAATAAAATTAAATAACAACCTCTTGACCAAAGAAGTATTTTTAAATTTTTTATAAATAAGTGTTTATTTTAATAAATAAGTAATTATGATACATTATGCTATCTCTTTTGGAGTTTTTAAGAACAGCTACTTAACCTCTTTAAACTCCAGTTTTTGAATGGTGTTAGTAATACTATTTATCTCACAGGATTTTTTAATCATTTGAGATAGTTTTAGTTACTGTCTTAATTTAGAAATCAATTGAGATTAAATGAGATAAAACATTTAAGCATTTAGCAAAGTGTCTGGCATGTAGTTGAAGCCAAATAAATATTAGCAGCTTTTATTACCTTATTATTATATTTCATAAATATTTTACTAATAGAGTTTTACAACACAAGAGAATTATATTCTCAGTACTCAATATACAATCATGGAGCATCCACCATCTCAAATTCAAAGGTATTTACGAAAACATTATATCTTCATTTAATTAAAAATATAGGAATCATCTAACAGCTCAACGGAACACTGGAATCATGCACAATACTTGAAGTTCATAGCAATTAATTTTTTCAGTTAGGCTGACATCTAGTGGACATCTGTAGCCATCCGAAAGATTTAAAATACATACTTTAAAAAAAAACACCCTAGCAACATTCCATTAAATAAAAGACCAATATCTAATGTAAATGTTTAAAATGAAAAAGGAAAATCAAGTTGAGTATTGTTTGCCAGGCACTGAACTAAATGCTTCCCCAAACATCTCACTCACTCATTTGTTCAAAGTGTTTGGTATCTACTATATGCTAGACAATTATTATATAGAATTTTTAAAAAGTAGATATGATCCCTTTCCTTTTAGAGTTCACAGACTAATAGGGATGAGTTATCAAACAATTATATAAATTAATAAAATTATAAATTGTGTTTAGAGCTATGAAGGACATTAGAAGAGAATCCTTAACCCTCTGAGGAAGTGATTTGTGAACCAATTTCTTATTCTTTAAAAATATGGGAGTCGGGCTTCCCTGGTGGCGCAGTGGTTGAGAGTCCGCCTGCCGATGCAGGGGACACGGGTTCGTGCCCTGGTCCGGGAAGATCCCACATGCCGCGGAGCAGCTGGGCCCGTAAGCCATGGCCGCTGAGCCTGCATGTCCGGAGCCTGTGCTCCGCAACGAGAGAAGCCACAACAGTGAGAGGCCCGCGTACCGCAAAAAAAAAAAAAATGTATATATATATATATATATATATATATATATATATAGGAATCATCTAACAGCTCAACTGAACACTGGAGTTATGCACAATACTTGAGGTTCATAACAATTAATTTTTTAGGTTAGGCTGACATCTTCTTATTCTCTAGAAGTTGGTTCACATATTCCCATCACAAATTTAAGACAGAGGGACAGCATGAGTGCAGGTCCTGAGGTGGGAAAAGGTTTGGTGCCAAAAGAATTGAAAGAAGGTCAGTGTAGCTATAGTTGTAAGGGAGACAACAGTACCAGATTAGATTAGACAGGTGTATATGGGGGCCAGATCAAGCAGGGCCTTGTGAAAGAATAGGCCATGTAACAAATTCAGGATTTATCATTTTATCATAGGTATCATAGAAGCAATTTGAAGTATTTAAACAGGGAAAGATATGTGATAAGATATATGGTTTTAAAAGAACATTCTGACTCCCTGGGGAAGTGAAATGGAAGGAGATGAATGTGAATGTAGGGAAAGCAATTAGGGCCAATTAGGAAAGTATTTAAATAGCCCAAACAATACATGGTTTGGGCTCAGACTATAGTGGTTGCTGTCAAGATGTATTGTGAAAGCAGATTCAGATCTTGGTGATGAATTGGATATTGGGAAGGAACCAGGCATGAGGGACAAGAAAGCATTGAAAATATTCCCAGATTTCCGTCTTGAAAAACTGAGCTGGTTGAGGTATTAAGGTGAGAAAGAGTAGAGAAAGAACAAATTTGCAAGTACAACTAAGTTTTTATTATCAAAGAACAACTCAGAGACATTTAGTTATTTACCTACAAACAAAATTTTTAACATACAGGGATACAGTCATTAGACTGCTATCCAGGAACAAGGGCAAAAACTGTACTTATGAGGAAAAAACTGCAGTCTCAGAAGACTGAGTTGTGTTTGCACATCTTTAGTGGTAAACTAATTAGCTGACAGCAAAGAGGTCCATCTAGGCAGTCTGTCCTTGTGAAGGTTGTCCAGGGATAACAAAAAAAACAATTTAAATTGTATTGGATTTTCCCCAAACCCTGAGAGTTTGCTGTGTAGCATATGTGGCAGGCTGTCCAAGGGTAATGTCTATCAAGACCCTTCCATTAGCATCTCTACCTTAGCTGAGCCAGGCCTGCATCATTTCTCTAATGAGTATTTCTCAACTCCCTGGTTTTTGTCAAAACAAACTCCAAAAGACAAAAATTTCACCATGAGTGTTTCAGTTCCTTTTTCTGACTTATTATTATCAATTAGATGTCAACTCAAGATAATAGATGTGAAATAACATTTTAGGTCTCTAGATTCAATTCTATTGATCTGGCTGACTAGATAAACAAGGAAAAATCATGCAAGATCTGTAGGACAGGTTATAGATTTTGTTCTTTATTCTAAGAATATTGAGAAACCACTAAAGGTTTGCAATCAAGTAACTTGATTAGAATCTGAATTTTATGATATTTATGAGACAATTGGAAAGTTGCCACTGACCCAGTATTTGCCAATATTAAGGAATTATTATTACTTTTGTTTTGGGTATGATAATAGTATTGTGGTTACGTTTAACCAAAAAAAAAAAAAAAGAGTTCTTATCTTTTAAAGAATTACATGCTGAAACACTAGTGGATGAAATGAAAATAAAATTGAAAGTCATCTGTGTATATATAGACATATATGAGTGGAAGCAATATCTGTGGTATAAAGTGAGAAGAATAGAGGAATAAGGATGATGCCTTGAGGAACTTCATCTATTAAAGATGAAGAGATGAGGATGAGCAAAGAAACCAAAGAGTAGCTACTTGAGAAGTAGAAGGAAAATCAGAGGGGTGTTATGTCATAGAAGCCAAAGGAAGAGAGGTTTCAAGAAGGAAATAATACACATAAAGTGCTTAAAACAGTGTCTGGCATATGGTAAATGCTCAGTAAATACTGCATTATGATGATGGATAAGAAGGAAATAGTGAGGAATAAGTAATGGTAAGAGGTCAAGACAGAGAAATCACTGGTGACCTTAAGGAGAATAATTTTTGTGGAATGGGGGTCGGGGGAGGAGTTACATTAGAGTGGTTTCAGAGGTAAATGGGAGGTACAGACATTGAGACACTAATTGGAGATAATTCTTTTAAGATGTTTGACATGGGAAGGAGATAAAAAAGGCAGTGGTTGGAATAGGACTGTGAGAGTGGAAAGAGGCAGTATTTGGTTTCGCAGCAATCGGGGAAGAGGAGTTTAAAAAAAGGAGAGACCTAAGCATGTTTAAATGTTGGAAAGGAACTTGTAGAAAGGGAGAAAATGAAAATATAGGAAAGAAAGGGGTAAATATATGGACCCTAAAAAGGTGGGAGAGGTAGGATCCAGAACACACAGGGAAAGGACTGATATTTGATGGGCAGAGGGACATCTCTTTTACTATAACAGGAGGGGAGAAATGATAGGAACACATGTAGGCAGACTGGAATGGATGTTTTCATTCTCCCTTCTCTAGGAAAACAATTCTCTGGAGCGTATTCAGTGGGCTTTAAGTATCCAAATCTGTGGAATTTCCTGTTCTCATTTTCTCATGCAATATTTGATATTGTAGATCATTCCTTTTCTTAAAACTCCCTACTCCCTTTTTAAATATATTTCAAGTAGACCAAAAAATGCCTTAAAAAATAGAATGAATGCCTGTATAACTAGCTTAAAAAATACAAATGAAGCTCTAATTCCATTCTCTTCTCTCCTCTCACAGATAAACACTATTTTGAATTAGGTGTTTTTTCATTCCCATGCTTGTTTTTATTTTTTTTATTATTTTTTCCCTTATTTTATTTTTCATTTATTTTTA